CTAATTGCATGGATTTGAGACTTTACTTTCTTTCATTTTTGATAAGGTTGGCTAAGGGTTTGTGAATTTTATTTAATCTTTCAAAGAACAAACTCTTTGATTCATTGATTGTTTGTATTGTTTTCTTAGTCTATATTGCATTAACTTCCACTCTGATTTTATTATTTCCTCCCTTACACAAGCTTTGGGTTTAACATGCTCTTCTTTTTCTAGAAGCTTGAAGTAATATTAGGTTATTTATTTGAACTCGCTTTGTTTTTCTGATATGAGAATTCATCTCTGTAAGTTTCCCTCTTAGGACTGCTTTCATTGTATCCCATAAGTTCCAGTATGTTGTACTGGCATTATTAATTGTCTAATTTCTTCGTTAATTTCATCTGTGACCCATTCATTGGTTATTCAGGAGGGTGTTAATTAATTTCCATGTGTTTATGAAATTTTTGTAGTTTCTTTTGCCACTGATTTCCAATTTCATTGCACTATGGTCTGAAAATATGCATGGGATAATTTCAATTCCTTTGCATTTACTTAAATGTGTTCTGTGAGCTAGGATATGGTCTATTTTGGAGAATGTCCTGTGTCCAGCTGAGAAGAATGCGTATTCTGATATCGTGGGGTGGAACACTCTGTAGACATTTACTAAGTCTATTTGTTCAAAAGTTTGCTTCAGTTCTGATATTTCTGTGTTGATTTTTTTTGTCTAGTTGATCTGTCTATCTGTCTACACTGGGATATTGAGGTCCCCCAATACAATTGTACTAGTGCTTATTTGATTTTTCAGGTCCATTAATGTTTATTTTATATAGTTGTGCTGGTATTTGGTGCATGTATATTTAAGATTTTTATCTCTTCCTCTTGGATTGTTCCCTTTAAATTATGTAGTTATGTTCTTGGTCTCTTTTAATCAGTCTTGGCTTGAAATCTACTTTGTCTGCAAATAGAATAGCTACCCTTGCTTTTCTCCAGGTTCCTGTTGCATGGAGTATTTTTGTCCATGATTTGACTTTCCAGCTATATTTTTTTAATTAAATGTGCTTCTTGTATGCAGCATGTTGTTGGAGCTTGCTTCTTGACTCATTCTGTCAGTCTGTTTCTTTTGATTGGTGAATTTCGATGATTAACATTAATATTATAACTGATATGTAATGACTTATCCTTATCATGTTATTTCCTGTTATTACTGCCCTTTCCCCCTCTTTTGCCTTGCCTGGTGAATTCATTCTGGGGGGGTTCACGGAGTTGTAGTCTTCATTATCTCTCTCTAGCAAGTCCTTCAGAACACTGGTTTGGTAGTCAGAATTTCTTTTTTTTTTTTTTTTTTTGGTTTTCTCCAGTACCGGGAACCGAACTCACGACCTTGCGCTTGCCAGGCAGGCACTTTTGCCACTGAGCTAAATCCCCAGCCCCAGAATTTCTACTCACGACCTTGCGCTTGCCAGGCAGGCGCTTTTGCCACTGAGCTAAATCCCCAGCCCCCAGAATTTCTTTAGGTGTTCTTTATCATGAAAGTATCTCACTTCTTCATCAATTCTGAAAGGTACTTTTGCAGGTACTTTACCTCAATCTCAGTTGAAGGTTGCTTTCTTTTAAAGCTTGAAATACTTCAGTCCAAGCTCTCCTTGACTTGAAGGTTTGTGCTGAGGAGTCTACTGCTTGACAATTGTATGCCTTGGTATAAATCTTTTTTGATCATGGCTTAATTGGACTTCTCTATGCCTCACTTACATGTATAGCAAATTTTTTCATGCTTGGTAAGTTTTCTGACATTAATTCTGTGAACAGGTTTTTTAAAAAATGTCATTTGTGGTATCTCTTGCTTTTTCATCAACCCCAATCAATCTTGTCTAGTAGCTGTTGGACTGATTTTTCATGGTCCCTTGCTATTTTTAAGAAATATTTCTTTTCATGATTACTAACTGCAATCCTATCTTCTATATCTGTCCTCACATTGGTTCATTCTGCTGCATATACTTTCAAAGGAATTTTTAATCTCTTGGATATGTTTGAACCAGTGTCTTGGATTCCATTTCTTTGCTATATTGGGTATTCATAGTTTCCATCATTTTCTTAAGCTCCTCTATTTTTTAAAATCTATATCTGTCCTAGAGTCACTAACGTCTAACATTATGGTGACCATCTCTGTAGTTATCTGAGAGATTACTTCTGATTTCACTTTTTCTAGAGCTTCATCATCTGTTTTGTTACTTCCACTGTTACCAGCTCAGAAAGTCCCGGTGGGTGGCTTTAAAACTGTTCCACCTCATTCCCCTTGGGTTTGCGTTTGGTGAGCTGGAAGTCGGGGGTTGCATCTTGCTTAGGTGTCTTCTCATTTTCTATTTGTTAAATTCCTGGGTTGATGCTTGTACATTGCTATAGCAGGTAGCTTTATTGCTAATATTTAGAACCCTTAGGAAATGACTACTCAGCAGTGTCTTCCAAGTATAGCTGATTTTTGGGTTTTGGATCTGTTGCAAGATCCTAACTCTTCAATTTATTGGGGATGGGAACTTGATGCCTATTTGGCCCAGCCCCTGGTTCTTTGGCACTAGCCTATAGTATTGTTTATGACCCTTAGGCAATCTCAGTCTTGATATACCAGGAAGAACAACTGATTGGAGCAATTATGTCATGGCTATAGTAGTACAATCAGCAATAACAATGACATCAAACACAGCCTAGAAAATGGCAAACTTTGCTAATTATTAATTTGCTACCTTTGCCCACATGAACTAGATTTGTGGTTATATAACAAAATGTAAAACAAACCAGAAAATTGTATACATAAAAATGCCCTCAAGCTGGCAACTTTACTCTCAGGGGAGGAAACTTAAAAGTACTTGAGAGGGAATGGAGAAATAAAGAAGAGAAAGAGGGCTGGGAATTTGGCTCAGTGGCACAGTGCTGAGGTCCTGAGTTTGAGTCCCAGTACCAAAAAAAAAAAAAAAGAAGAAGAAGAGAAAAAGATTAGAAGCAAGGCTGGAGGACAAAGGAAGATTACACAAACTTTGGAAACCTGGTAAAGAAGATAGGAGGGAAATAGGGAAGGAAGAAACAAAAACAAGAACAGAACAGAACAACAATAACAAAAAACTGGAAAAAATGTTCGCATTCATAAAAACAAGAACAAACAAAAAGAAAACGCAAAACAAAACAAAAACAAGCAAAGAGAGAACGTCCCCTTTCAGGTGTATCTGTGGTGTTTCTGGTAGGCAGAGTGGGCAGGCAGAGCCCAGGTCTGTGTTGATGAATCCCAGCAAGCCAGCTGTGGACCTATGGCAAGGTAGTGGGTAATCCCAGTAAGGCTGCACTTTTAGTTCCACTGGAGTTGAGACTGGATCCTGGCTGTGAAGCTGGAGCCTGAGTTGTTGAGCCTGCAACAGCCCATGTGCCTCCTGCCAGTTTAAACTCGGCTCCCCCTGACCCTGACACTGGGAGCCACTGGATGGAGCCAGCTGCAGCTGCACTGAGTTCCGAGTTCAGTGGGCCCCTCTCCAACAAGACTAACGGCCAATGGATGTGTGAACCCAAATAACTCACCCACTGTGGATCGCTGTGTCCACTGCTCCATCCCACTGGTGCATTTCTCCAAGGAGGCCTCGGGGGTTTCCAGGAGTCACCGGGCGCCTCCAGGTTCGAGCTGTGCCTCCTCTGCAGCGAGTCGGGGCTCAGGGAGAGAGCGCCTCTTGCAACCTCCTTCTGCACTGAGGTCTCTCCCTGGGGGCTTCATTTCTCACTTCAGATCCTTGCTGGCTCCCGGGGACCCACTTCCTTCCTCCTTCTCTTCCTCACATTGCTATATTCCTCTGTCTGGATACCAAATCTCAGAAGGGTTGTTTCTCTGCCGTTCACCACTCCGCCATCTTCCTGGCAGTCACTTTATATATTTGACTAGCTATATTTTATTTTATTCTATTTTTGTTTTCTGTTTTTTTTTTTTCCGGTACCGGGAATGGACTGACTAGCTATATTTTAATATGGCCGTTTTCCTTTGCAACTCTGGGCATTTCATTTTAAAGTGGTTTTGAGATGAATCCTTGCATCTCAGGGGCCGCTGAGGGCCCCCTGTCCCCGGAAGGAGCTTAGGAGGGGCCACTGTTGGTGAGGCTGGGCCGGGAGCAGCGGGGCTCAGGTGACTATGGCCTGCGCAGGGGTGTGGGAGGGAAGTGAGGCTGGGGAACTCCTGCAGGTGAGAAGATGCAAACCGCTGGAGTGCGACCAGCTCAGCACACTCTCTCTCTCCCAAAAGCTCTGCTGAGACACAGAGAGCTGAGGACTGCGTGTGGGGCCTGAGCAGGGTCTGCTCCCGGCCGTGGAGAGCAGGAAAGTGACTCTGAGGATCCAGCACATGATGAACAGGAGCGGGCAGGGCTGATCACTCTGTAGAGCTGAACCCACGCGACCCAGGCTGGCTTTGATTTGAAAGGCTCCGGGCCCCAGGCCTCCTAGGTTCCTCTTTTTGTTTGCTGGGTTGTGTTTTCTCTCAAGATACTTTTGGGGCTGTCTGCACGCTGGCTTGGAAATCCCGGGTGTGCGCCCAACCCTCTGCTGCCCTCTCCACTCACCCCTGCGTTCATTGACACACGCTCTGCCCCACCCGCCCTCTCCTGGGATGGGATATCCCTCAGACTGAGAAGCCGGGGGCCCTCAGCAGGCCAGCGTCCAGCCCAAGGCAGTGTCCAGTGATGCAGTACTGTGAGGGCAGCAGCACGCCTGTGCCAAGGCTCTGCCCACATGGCCACAGACCTCCGCTGGCCATGGGACGGGCACTATCATTATGCCACGGTCACAGACAGGATCTGGAGGACTGCATCTGGCCTGGGGGCAGCTTGCTTGTGGCCACACCAGCAAGGACAAGTCAGGCTGGGCTGTGGCCAAACTGCAGCCTTGGCTGTGGGCAGGCCCCAGGGGGCCAGCTGCGCCCAGAGCTGCCCTGTCCAGGGAAGCTCTCTCCTCCTAGGTCCCTCCACGCAGCCGTGGTCCCCAGGCTCACATGTCCTTTCACCAATTCCCAGGCATATCCTCAGCCCTAAATGACACCAGGCACACTCACCCCTCTCCCTGCGCTTCCTCTTTGCACTCTGCTCAGTACTTGCCTGGGAAAGTTTAGCTGGAAAAAAAAATGATATTGATATATATATATACGTATTCTTCCATTCATCGTCTCCAGCCTGCTAAGTGTAAGCTCTATGGAGGCGCTTCCTCTTGCTGTATCCCTGGGCCTGGAGCCCTGGCCATCAAGTGGCTGATTGTTGGGCAGGAGACGTGACACGCGGGGACCTGGGGCCACCGGGCAGGAGGAGAGGTTGGGGATGCGGAAACCCAGCGTGGGTGGACACGGAGCTGCCCCAGGCAGCAGCTGTTCGGCATGCGGCTCCTCCTGGCCGGGCGGCACGCGCTTCACAGCGCCATGCGCTGCCGGCGGGAAGGTCAGGAGGGCAGCCTGGGCGGGGACGCGGCCCCGGGGCGCCCGGGACTTGTAAGTCGGGAGCCCCTCCTTGAGCCGGGCAGCCCAGCTCTCCCGGCCACCTCGTGCTGCATGTGGAGGGAAAGCGCAGAAGGGGCCGAGGAGGCCCGAGCTCTCGCGCTGGGGCGGCGCCGCCTCCCCGGCCGCTAGAGGGAGGTCAAGGTCACCATTTCATCCAAGTTTTTAAGAGGCGTTGGAGGCGCCCTGGGCTGGCCCGGAGCGCGCCTCGCCCCTTCATTCTCGCTGATTCACTTAACAAACTTTTCCCCGGGCCCTTTTGTCGGGCTCTGTGGCTTGAACTAAAAAGCCCGGGGCCCGGTTCTCATGGTGCCCCCTGGGAGCGAGGAGAGACCCTTAAGCGAGCACTGGATAACCCCGAGGGGGCCAAACCCGCTAGCAGCCGCTGCCCGCGTCACTATCGCACGGGCCATGCGTGTCACGCCTGTGGCCCGCTGTGCGGACAGCTGGAGCAGGCTGCAGCTCCCAAGCCCGCAGGTCCCCACAGCCGCGCTGGGGATGGTGGTGTGAGGCCCTGATCCCGCTCCAGAGGCGGGAGTGTCACCCCTGGGGGCCGGTTCCTAAAATCTTTTTTTTTTTTTAGTACTGAGACTGAACCGAGGAAGTGCTAAGCCCCAACACATCTCCTTTTGGGGAAGGGCCTTCCTAAGTTGCCCAGGCTGTGACTCTCTTGCCATCCTCTTGACCCAGCTGGAAGTAGAGGGGATCACAGCCCTGTGCCACTGTCCCCAGCCCCGATAACAGGGGAACAAAGGGCCCTATGCTTCTTGGGCGGCCAGGAGAGCCGTGCGGACAGTCCTGGCAGGGCACACTGAAGCCCGAGATAGCTTCGGAGAACCTCGGCTCTGGACTTCTGCAGAGCGCACGCAAAACCCTCAGGGGCCTCTAGGACCATCGGCCCCCACCTCCACCCACTTTCTGATTTAGCTCCTTCCGGATTGTGCTTCGTACATTTACTGCGTTTTTATGGGGTTTGTTGTTTTATTTTTCCGTAATAGGGACTGAACCCAGGACCTTTGCATTGAACTATATACCTCTACCCCTTTTAGACAGGCTCTCGCTAAACGGCTAAGTTGTCCAGGCTGGGCTGGAACTTGGATCTTCCTGCCTCAGCCTCCTACAGTGCTGAGATTCCAGGCTTGTACCTGTGTATTTCCGTTGAGTTGTCATAGTCACAGAAGCTCAGTGGGGTTGGGGGAGGGGATCCTCCAGAGGGCCTGCCGCCTAGGGAGCTCTGATGAACACCTGAAGAAGGATTATACGGCTGGATATAGCTCAGCGCCACAAGTGCCTGCCTGGCAAGCACAAGGTACTGAGTTCGATTTCTGGTACCAAAAAAAAAAAAAAAAAAAGATTATAATGTGAAATCGCCAACCTTTTGATATGTGTTGCCCTCTAAGTGGCTGCGGGATACGCCCTGACTCTAGAAGCATGAGGCTAATAAGCGTTACTTCTAAGCCACCAATCTGCGCACCTCGAGGGTCCAAGGCCCGCAGACCAGGTCTGTGATTGGGGCAGAAATGCTTGGGCCGCCCCTTTTTCCATATGCGCCCTCTGAGACCCGGGCTTCCGGTGAGGCTGGGCGAGGCTGGGCGCGGCTGGGCGGCGGCCCGGACTACACTTCCCGGCGGCCCCCGCGCGGGGGCGGGGTTTGAGGCGTGTCCGAGCGACGGGGGCGGGGCCGACTACAAAGCCTG